GGGAAATTGAAGGTGGATTCCAGGATTGTCAAACAGAACAATTGCTTGAAACGTCTCTTGGAAAAAACCAGAAAGCTACGTACAAAGTATTAAGACTGAAAATGAAAGATTCCTAAATTACTGCTTAATTGCCTCAGGATAATGCTGAGGGCACCTGGAATCTTACAACCACTTTTAGGTGGAATGTTACTTGTCTTGTCTTAAATTTTCTTAGTTTCTTCCTAGTGTCTTAAGAATCAGGATAAGGCACTAAGTATGATTTTTCTCCATGAAAGTTCCACCAACCTTTATCATTTTCCTAAAGAAACTTCAAGGGAGATGGGAGAATGAAAGGATTTCCAGAGGCAGAACCAAAATTTCTAGAATAATTAGGAAACCTGAAAATAGTAGTAAAATCAATAGCAAATATAAGGCTTAGTAATTGAGCAAGGGAGGAGCTAAGATCTTTATGATGCAGGAAAAATACTTGTGTTTCTTCCATGAAAACATGGATGATAATCTCAACTCAACTCTGGTACTTGATATGGCAGAAAACAAAACTGAAATCAAGATAGAAGGAGAGCTAATCCTGCAAAATTTCATAGCATCTCTTGCATCTCATTCCATGGCCCTTCTCCTTTATGTATTGCTCCTATATAGTTATAATTCTTATAGCAGTAATCTCCCTCCCATGTATACTTTTATATCTGCAAAAAATTCGTGGTGGATAAACTCTCTATACAGCAATTTTTCCGGGTTTGTGAACATGGCTTTTCCAGCTATAGCCCTCAGATTTTGCATCTTCATCTTCCATGCTGTCGCCTCCAGTGTTTGCAGCCAACTGGAGGGGACCTTCAGGTGAACCAAACTGGGAAGCATTCCCCTTTGAGGACTCACCATATTGCTCCTGAGAAATCCACAAACTACCCCCTAGAACAGAGGTGGTCGTGGTTGTTGTGGACGGGATTCTTCGTGTATGAAGTCTGTATTTCTGCAATGACAAGAAACATCTTCCATGAATTTCCAAAATCAAAATTTAACTCAAATCCATAGAAAATCACAGATGAATTTTCTTTTAATAGGGAAAAGGAAAAACAAATAAGATTCTTCTCCTAAAAAACACAAAGTTAACTCAAAATATTATATCAATAGTTTCCCTTCGCAAGCACTTCAAATCCTTCATTTTCACTCATGATTCCTAGAAATTACAAGGGAAACCACAAAGGAAATTAAGAACCTACCTGAAGATGACTCTTCACTTCATCATTGGTCAAGCCATCTACTTGCATAAGTTCTCTTATCTGCTTTGGAGTAGCCACTGCGAAGGATCAAAATTTTCGAACTTAGATACTTGAAAATATAAGTCCATCAAAGTCATTTATGCAGGTTCAAGTTTCCAAGAGATTGACTAATGTTACATGATTTCCATTACACAATCCTGTTCACCCTCCATGTCTTAGAACCAAACCAATTTCACTTAAAATTTACACAGATATCCATAGCCAAAACCAAGGGGATCCCTATAAGCAAACTTCTCATGAAACTCATCTATACTTTTCATGTTTGAAAAGGAAAGCACACAACATGATAAAACAACACAATATTGCTGCAATACCAAAAAAACACAATCTTGCCGCAGGGGCTTGACAAAATCTTTCGAATTTCATCCATCATTAGAAAACTCAAGCAACAAAGAGTCTTGAATACAAAATTAATCTGTTCCGAGAAAGTAAAAGGATCTATTTCATTACCTTGGGAGCCTCCAAGCTGCTGCAAGGCATTGACAAACCGTCGATGCAACTCCGGTGACCAACATCTCCTCTGTTTCCTAGCAGTCTGCTGCTGAGGTGGCTGTGGCCCAGACGGGAAACTTGACTGAGAATCAAGGACAGAAGAGGAAACTGCTTTGCTGGAACTAGCTCTTGAGGCTGAGGAACCTGATTCCTCCCTCAGATTCTTGATTCCAGGAGTCAAGAGCGTTAGACCAGGAACTGACACCTCCTTTTTCTCCTCCTTCCTGGATGCAAATACAGAATATGCCTTAAATGGCGTAAACGACCTGATACCTCCCCTGTCCTCACAACCTCGGAGTTGGAACGGATCTTCCTCATTCTTCTGTTGTAAAACAAGGAAAAAAAAAATTAATTTCCGGAAAATTGGTAAACACATTATTGCTAAATATACTTTTTATATCCTCAGGTTTTCTGGGTTTTCCCATTTTATTGGCACCTTAGTTTCTGGTTTCTGATTAGTGGAGCGAAAATCATCATCACTATTCCACAGCTGAACAGAACTCATCCAATTTTTCTTGTCTTTATTATTAAAAATAGTAGCGTCTTTTTCATTTCTGGTGGTGATTGATGAACCTTCTTCATCACCATCCTCCCTCTTCTTCAATGGAATGAATTCTTCCAGAACCGGTTGAACATTTTTAGCCGCACATTGTATTGATTCCTCCTTCAAAACCAGGATTGCTGCAACCAAAAGCAAGAACAACGAAGGAAATCGTCACCCAGAAAATTCAAACCACCATTAAACACGTTGATTTAAAACAAACCCAGAACGCATTTGAAGAAATAACAGATTTTGAAAAATACCCATTAACCAAAACGATCAAAAACCAAAAACCCATATCACGGATTAATTTTTTCTTAAAAATTTAAGGCAGAAGAAATGGTTTCAATAAATAGAAACGAACCATCATTCAAGAGAAGCATGCAATAAGGAAGCTCGCGCTTAAAGGCATCAATCTTCCTCATTTCCTCCTCTAATAGCTTGACAAAACCGTCGAGTTTCGAAATCTTCTCGGAAACGTTCCCGATCATCGAAACCTCCCCCAGAAACTCAGTGATCGTTTTGGGTACAAAAGTGGGTCTAAATTCTAAGCTCAGTTCTGCTCGAACCGAACCCATTTCTCCTCTAACCGATCCCCTCCCCTTCCTCTGTTCCTTTATTTTTCAGTGATAATCGCAGGTGAAATGAGGGAGGAAGAGAAATGATGAGATCTCTGAATGAACATATAGAATGAAAAATAAACGCATAGATAAATAGATAGATTATATGGGTAGAGTGAGAGAGAAGTGATGTCTGGGGAGAGAGAAAATAAAGAGTGGGTTTCTTTCCAGCTTCCGGGAGATGACTGGAAAAGAAAATTTGGAATGCGAAGATTCTGTTTGCGGTTTTACGGGTTATAAAGTCGTCTCCATCGCGTCGTCGCATATCCATCCTTCACCGGCATTCCCGAGTTAACTCCGGTAGTCATTCACACCATACCATATACTATAGTCATATGCCGCTAATTATTTTGTTAAAAATATTTTAAAATTAATTAATATAATCGATGTTTTATTTATAAATAAAGTTTTTATTTTATAAATTTATAAATTTATTTTAAGTTAATAAATAATAAATATTAATTATTTTAATGATAAATTAGATATAATTAAATAATTTTAATAATATAATGAGATGTTAAAATGATTTTTTTTCTCTTTTTCAGTTACAAAAGAAAAAACAAACTTCTTTAAAAAATTTATTTTTTCTCTTAATTGGGGGGTTTTATTTTATAAATTTATAAATTTATTTTAAGTTAATAAATAATAAATATTAATTATTTTAATGGTAAATTAGATATAATTAAATAATTTTAATAATATAATGAGATGTTAAAATGATTTTTTTTCTCTTTTTCAGTTAAAAAAGAAAAAAAAAACTTCTTTAAAAAATTTATTTTTTCTCTT